TGTATGGCCCTTCTTTGACAGTAAATCGTGAGCTGTGAACATGAGGCGGTTGCTTTCTCCTTCCCTCCCTCAGGCTTGCATTTTTTTAAAAAAAAACAAAACAAAACAAAAAGGACAACTTTTTCCATATATAAATACAAAATATTAAATAAAGATCTGCTTTCTGTACAAACAAAATAAGCTCAAAAGGAAAGGAAAGAAGTGCATTTTGCCACCAGGCAATTCATGTTCTCAAAATATTTTTCCAAATCACGTTTTGGGGATCGGCTCTTTTTAAAAGTGTGGCAATGAGAGCATTTCTTTTTCTAATCACTTAATCCGGAGATAGACAACTATTCCTTTACCCACCTCAAAATTTCCTGCAAGCCCTTCCCCACATTGCTGGTATGCTTCGCCCATGTGCCCCGCATGCCTGTATGTCTTGTGTCTGCGCATAGGTTGGAGAGGGCTTGGCCACAACCACATCGCAGGATCTACAGCAACACCACACAAGGCGGGGCTTGCCAGAAGCTCCACCCACAAGGTGTAACCCTTGCGCCGCCACGGGCAACGGGAAGAAATAATTTAGGGCTGAAGGGAAGAAGGACTGTATGGAGGCCGTGGCAACTGGGAGGCCGCATCTGCCAAAAACTTGTAGATTCCCCCAGGGGCATCCAAATTGGTCCATCTGGTTGCACCCGAGCCCCAGGGCTAAATCCTCTGCAGAGTCAATGCCTTAGCTACTTTGAGAATGGTTATTATCGCAATTTCTGAATTCACTGAATTCACACAGCGGCATACACAGTCCCTCGCAAGACTGTTCCTCCCTCCCCGGCTCCGGTTCTTTCTTTCACGGAACCAATAAAAACGTGGTCCTGCGATCTCCACTACCTCTTGGTAGCCATCGTGTTCACGTCGGAAACAAAGTCATTTTCGACGACGTTGCTGTAGCCATCTTTCTCTATACAGTCACTGACGGCCTTGAGGACTATCCGGAGCCTTCTGTCCATTGCTTCCAGGTGCAGCTTGTACAAGATGGGCGCGATCTTGTCCATCAGCAAGGATTCTTCCATCAGGTGGCTAAGCTTGTATTCCTCCTTGGCTAGCAGCTGCAACCGCAGGTAGGTGGACTTCCGTATTCTAAGGAAAGGAAGAGGCAAGGTGAGGAAAAAGGACCGCATTTAAGGTTTGCCGTGGCGAGTGGTACATGGAGTTGTGCCAGCGCTGCTGGCTCTGGCGGTAGCAGGGGAAGAGAGGCATTGCGGTGGAGTGGTTAGAGCAGCAGTTCCCAAAGTTTTTCAAGCCACCTCCCCATGTGTTCCATAAACTCATCCCCAGGCCACCCTACCTGATAAAAACATTACAGTGGTGCCTTGGTTCTCAAATGCCTTGGTTCCCAAACGGCAAAAACCCGGAAGTAAGTGTTCTGGTTTTTGAACGTTTTTCAGAAGCCGAATGTCTCTTGGCTACTGCTTCTGGGGCGCCTGCACTAATCAGAAGCTGCACCTTGGTTTTCAAACATTTCAGAACCAAACAGACTTCCGGAACGTATTAAGTTTGGCGCTTTTGTTTTTGCTATTTATTTGCGTTTTTGTTTGCGCGGCTTTTTCGGTTATTTTCTTTTTGTGACTGTGTGGAACCCAGTTCAGCTACTGATAGATGGTATGACTGCGGAAATGGATAACAATGACTATCATCAGTGCAGTTAACGAAATAATTAATTTGAATTTTTTATCATCTGCAATACTGTCTTATTTATTTTATAGTACAGTACATTGATAATTGCTTTAATTTTATGGATCAGTGGTCTTGTTAGATAGTAAAATTCATGTTAAATTGCTGTTTTAGGGGTTTTTAAAAATCTGGAACGGATTAATATTTGCTTTGCATTACTTTCTATGGGAAAGCGCGCCTTGGTTTTGGAACGCTTTGGTTTTGGAACGGACTTCCGGAACGGATTAAGTTTGAGAACCAAGGTACCACTGTATTCAGAACAGGGGTCTGTTTGACTCACTAAGGACGATCACAACACAATAAAATGCAAGTTTTGTTGGCATCTGTCTGTCTCGAAGGACAATGGAGTGCACCTCCAGGGGTGAAGTCAAACGGCTGGAGAATCACAGCGCCTGCTGTGGCTGCAGAGACCGGTAGCTTGTAACTGCTGCACATTCATTTGAAATTCAATTAACACTATTTAGTTTAATTAATTCAACAAAATGAATACAGGCTTGAGGCTGAAAAAGCTTCCCCATTCTGATCCGAACCCAGAAAGCAGCAGAAGCCTTGAAGTGGCAGCTGGAGGCAGTTGTGGTCTCTGGAGAGCAACCAAGCCATCAGCGTAGTCTGGAATCCAGAGCTTCTGTGTCAGCGGCACCCAAACATTTTTGAGAACTGTTGATAGCCTTAATGATTTTTCTGCCTGTGTCAGATGCCGCACGATTTTTAATTGCATTTTTATGGTTTCTCTTATTTCTTATGCTGTGTTGCAATTTGCATGCGGCAGAATTGAAACTGCAACGCTGTGAAATGCAATAGAAGAAACGGAAGAAGCAATAAAAATGCAATTTCAGAATAATTCGGGTGTTTACTGTGAACACGCCATGGACCACCGGAGTGAAGCTTGCAGATCACTGGTGGTCCATTTTGGAAGCCCCTGCTCTGTGCTGTATGTCACTGAATACTAAACAGCTTAGGAGCAACAGCAGGAAAGAGCTGTTTGTGTTCCAGCCTCCGCTTGCGGCTCTCCTGAAAGCCTCTGGTTAACCACTGTGGGAACAAAATGCTGGACCTTTGGTTTCATCCAACAGGGTTTTTCTTACATTCTTCGCTTACGGCCCTCTTTCTCCCTCACCCTTGTGCTCTGTTCTGTAAAAGCCAGATTTAATTAAATGTCAAGTACTAGTCATCTAATTCCGGGGACTGGAATGCACTGAATCCAAGGTACATTTTGTGCCCTCAGAAAGAATCAGGTAACCTGAGATCTCAAAGGGCTGTTTCATTTCTCAGTAGGCATCACCTTAGTTTTCTAACGGCTGGTCCAGGAAGGACAACACAATGGAAATTGGGGGACGCTGCAAGGGTAAGGAGGGAGGGAGGAGAGGATAAACTAGGCATGGAGCTGGAACATTTCCAAAATACCAAATGGATATGAGTTTCTACAGGTCAGAGGGAAAGAGGGGCTTTCACTAATGTGCTTCTCTCCCCCCCTCCCAACAGATGCTCTGGACCACGAGTCTCTGACAAAGTTTAGATTGCCGTGGTGGGTGAAAACTCCTCCTCCATCACTGGGTACATGCCAAGTTTGCTGCTTTGATGGAGCGATGTACAAAGGCCCTATTTTGCAATTTTTCTCTGGTCAGTAAAACTCTAGGTTGGGAACCTATGGCCCCTCTAGACGTTCCTGGACGACACAGACTATTGGCCATGCTATTTGAGCCAACATCTCTATCCTAGCTGAAGGGCATTTTAGTATCCCTGTAGGATAGGCTTGTACCTTAGAAGGGGGCCAAATATGAGAGAACGGCCTACCCAGTGACTTGACGCCTGAGCAGATATTTCTAGGGGTGACTTGAAACATAGAAACAATGGCTTGTGTCTGATGTGGTGCTAAGTAACCATGCTGCACTGACAGCATGGTTACCTAAGTGTTTTTGTTTCTATTATGTATTTTTTTTATCTTGTATTTTTATGTTATGACCCAACCTAAGATCTGTGGATAATCAGAAGTTTATTTTATTTATTTCATCTTTTATCTTTCACTTTCTTCTTTTTCATCTCTTCTCTTCTTTTCTTTTTCTGTAAAGTATGTGTATGTAAAAAGGTAAAGGGTAAAGGGACCCCTGACCATTAGGTCCAGTCGTGACCGACTCTGGGGTTGCGGCGCTCATCTCTCTTTATTGGCCGAGGGAGCCGAGGTACAGCTTCCGGGTCATGTGGCCAGCATGACAAAGCCGCTTCTGGCGAACCAGAGCAGTGCACGGAAATGCCATTTACCTTCCCACCGGAGCGGTACCTATTTATCTACTTGCACTTTGACGTGCTTTCAAACTGCTAGGTTGGCAGGAGCAGGGACCGGACAACAGGAGCTCACCCCGTCACGGGGATTCGAACCGCCGACCTTCTGATCGGCAAGTCCTAGGCTCTGTGGTTTAACCTTTGTATATATTGTACTATTGTGTATTGTTGTGTAAGTTAATGTTGAATGTTTAATAAGGATTTTTTTTAAAAAAAGAGAGATCTGTGGATAAAGGGCAGTACCGTGGTACCTTGGGTTACAGACGCTTCAGGTTACACACTCTGCTAACCCAGAAATAGTACCTTGGGTTAAGAACTTTACCTCAGGATGAGAACAGAAATTGCACGGCAGCGGGAGGCCCCATTAGCTAAAGTGGTACCTCAAGTTAAGAACAGTTTCAGGTTAAGAACGAACCTCCAGAATGAATTAATTTCTTGACCCGAGGTACCACTGTATATAAATTTAATAAATAACAACAACTACTTTCCCCTGGTGAAATTAAAATGGCTTTTGGGCACGTGGTTCATGCCTCTATTACTCTCAGCTGTTCGGGGAGGTCCACTGCAGACCAATCCTCAAAACACTTAGTGTTTCTCGAGACATTGCCCACCTCGGTAAATCATTCCCCATGAGGCTGCCACAGGGCTCATGACTGACAAGGGAAGGCTTACCTGCAGCACTGATTTAAAGGCACCAAGATGGATAGCTCGTCGTGGGAATATTTTCCAAACCTATCACAGAGGCAGAAACAAGAGAAGAGAGTGTCAGGAGGGCATCTTGAGGCATCAGTTTTGCAACGGAGTTTGTTTCACCGGGATAAACGTAGGCGTGCAGTGCTGGGTCTGGAAAACTGCACCTCTTTCCAATGATGCCCCCTGATGGTGGGTGGCTGGAATAAGCTATCACTTCTGTGGGCACAACATCAAGGTGTGTTTTAACAGCCTGTGAGGACGAAGAGTCCGCCACCTTCTGAGGGGGTCAAACAGTCCTTGCCCTCAGAAAGTTCTTCCTGATGTTTAGTTGGAATCTGCTTTCTTGTCATGTGAATTCACTGGTCCTGCCCTCTGGAGCAACAGAAAACAAGCTTGCTCCATCTTCCATGTGAAAGCCCTTCAGATATTTGAAGACAGCTATCTATCCCATGTGCTCCAAGTCTTCTCTTCTCCAGGCTAAACATGTCCGACACCCCCAAGCATTCCTTGTAAGTCTTGGTTTCCAGATCCTTTATCATCTTGGTTGCCCTCCTCTGCAAATGAGTCCTTCTCAGCACTCATTGGAGATGCTCTGAATACAAAGTATATGTCCTACCACTGAGCTATGGCCTTTTGCCAGCGCAAAAATCTAAGAAGGCCCTGTAGCTTTAAGGGCAGCTTTTGCTGTGGGAAATCTGTAGTAAGCAGAGTTTCCCCTTCTGTGCAATTCTTAAAGTGACAAGAACTTTCTCAAGATCTACGGCATGGCCAGTTTATATGCTGGTCTGCAGGAATGATAAGGTGACTGGTTGTGGACTTATTTATTTATTGTGACTCCTTACGCCTCAGCTTTTAAGGAAAATGTGGCAAATAAGTAACTTAATATTAATAATAATCATCAGAACCCTTCCCATGGGGCAGATGGTGTCAGATGGTTCTGTGAGGGGAGGTGGGTAAAAATGTTGGGGGAAATTAAACAAATATATTGGTTTAAAAGGGAAAGAAACACCAGCAATTACCCTCTTCCGTTGTCTAAGTGGATAATAAATGTCTCATTTCCAAACTTCTCGAAGGTTTCGTAATGATGGCGATCCATATTGCCTATAAAGGGGTAAAAAATGCAGGAAGGATAAACACAAATGCACACCAAATACTTATTAAATGGCTCGGAAAAGCAACACAGCACATATTTCCATCAAACTTTGGTTGCGTTCACACATGACAGTAAACCATGGATAGGCAATGGAGCCCTAACTCCGCTGCCCCCCACAGGAACACCCACTTGTCAATCACAAGACGCCATAATGATATCAGGTGATTGGCACCTTTCACAGTTGAGAGGAGGTTGCGTGCAAACACCAGTCTGGTGGGCTCCCTTCCAAGTCCATAATTCTAGTCTATGATTTATGGAAGATCATCTTTGCAGAGGGGGAAAGGCTCTTTCTGCAGTCGAAAAGGAACATTTCCCCCTCTGCTGAGAAAGCACTTTGCATTTGAGCCACTTCCTCCAAATGGAGCACGATTCCCTCCACAGCAAGCCCGTCGCCCCACGACTGAGGGGGCCGCACATCAGAAGAATAATTACATGCCAATCTATGTATCAGTGCAGGCTGTGTATGTGTGTGTGTTTGCTTAAAAATGAAATGAATTTTTCCTCCATCCGTCCAAAAGGCCTGCTAACATGTGCAGGATTGAGTTGGGATTCACACGGTGCCATTTTTATTTCGAGATCTAGGAAACCTACCCATGAGAAAGTCAAAAATGGTCATGTCCATTATATCCAGCACTCTGGTTCCCCTGTCGTAGGGCGGTGTTTGCTTGACCTCTTCGCAATAGTCCGGGTCAACTTCCCACCTAGGAAAAGCAACAGTGTTAGGAGAATGTAGATGGAAAAACACACCGCTCTTATCTTTTCAATATTAAAGTCAGCAGGAGCTTTCTCCTTGAGTTCAAAATAAACAGGAGAAAATCTTCAGGGCTTTCTGGCATGCGTCCCAATTTTATTTCTCTCTCTCTTTGTGTGTGTATTACAGTCACCCTTACAAGAAGCTGACAGCCAGTGTGGTGTAGGGAACAGTTTTAGACTTATTTATTTAGCAAGAACTGAAGGAGAAGGAACTGATTAGTCATCTTTTCACAGTGAGAGCGACAATAGCTAAATACTGAGGCAGGAGAATTAAGTTCAAGAATCTACAGTATTGGTACTTTAGAGTTTGGCAAATAGTTATATTGGAGACATCATCTCACAGACATCAAGTAATGAAAGGTCAAAGGAAGATGGATGTACTTTTGACAGGGTGGCATTTGCCTATTTATTCTATAAATAGCCAGGAATCTAAAAGATCACTTCCAATTACATATAAGATGGTTCGGGACTTTGGTACCAGAATCAGCTCCCTGGGTGGGGCAGAGTCACTATACTGGGCTCCCAGCAGGCAGAAGGCTGTTGCTTTCTGGGAGACAGATGAGGTGATGAGGAGGTCAGCATGGTGCAAACACAACGGAGGGAGGATCCATCCAGCACTCCTGCTCCTGCTTTTCCACCACACTGACCTCCCTGCTCACCTCTTGCTCCAGGTAAGCAAGCGACCCACCCGCTGGTAAGGTAGCGTAGAAGAATGTCCCCATTTTATTTCATCTCCGAATTCATTTTGTGCATTGAGAACTTTGCAGTCTGAAATCTGTGCATGAGCTTTACTAACAAACTGGCTGCTTTTAAGGAGATGTACGGGCAAGCTGTGGTTCTTTTATAGTTCCTACCCCAACTTGAAGGGATAGAATACAATCTGGGAAGATGTGACACGAAGAACTAAACACTAGGAGGTTGGCTGAGCAAAGTAAATACACTAAATTTTAGGTCAAGAAGAGACCCCAAATGTCAACATAGATAACTGACAGCAGACATTTGCTGACAGATAATACACAGAGCTATTAGAGGACAACAAAGAAAGACGTTGAAAGATGGTTATGTGTATTCACATATTAAAATGAGAAGGTTGGGGTAGGCTAGTCAGAAGGGTCTAATGATCTCTGAGTGGTTTAAGAATGACAACAATGTGTTGTAACTGTTTAACTGTGGTGAAGACAACTGCTGTGATAACTGTCTGATTGTTTAAGTGGTAATCACTTGTGTAGCTGGATATATATGGTGGTACCTCCGGTTGTGCATGGGATTCGTTCCAGAACTCTGGTTGGATCCTGAGGAATTTGCAACTGGAGGTGCCTGTTCTGCGCATGCGCATGGCACAGTAGAGCGCTTCTGTGCATGCATGCATGCATGGTGAAACCTGGAAAAATACTTCCGGGTTTGCCGCGTTCGCATCCTGAAGGATATGTGACCAGAGGTGTGCGTATCCAGAGGTAAAAGTAAAGGTAAAGGTAAAGGGACCCCTGACCATTAGGTCCAGTCATGGCCGACTCTGGGGTTGTGGCACTCATCTTGCTTTATTGGCCGAGGGAGCCGGCATACAGCTTCCAGGTCATGTGGCCAGCATGACTAAGCCGCTTCTGGAGAACCAGAGCAGTGCACGGAAACACAATTTACCTTCCTGCCAGAGCGGTACCTATTTATCTACTTGCACTTTGATGTGCTTTTGAACTGCTAGATTGGCAGGAGAAGGGACCGAGCAACGGGAGCTTACCCCATCGCGGGGATTCGAACCACTGACCTTCTGACTGGCAAGCCCTAGGCTCTGTGGTTTAAACCACAGCGCCACCCACGTCCAGAGGTACCACTGTATAAAGGTGATGCCTGGCAGTAGTAAAGGACAACCCCTTTCTGATATTTTTTTTAGGATTTATAAAGGCCTAAGTTTTCACTTAAAACCTGTGTCTATTGGTGCTCCTCTTGGAAACCCCAGTAAAGGTGAACTGTTTACTAATTTCCCCAATACTAGCTTTGTGGCCCCACTTCACCTAGAAAGACACAGCTGTTTGATATACATTTACTGAAGCTTGCACTCATTAGAGCTGCATCTGGTCAAGTCCTTCTGCACCACAATGCAGGTGTACAGAGATGTGAATGTCTGGGTGGCACGGGGAGAAATCTGGGAGGAAGAAACAGAATACCTAGAAAAAGCAGTGTGGGGCAGGGACACACAGATTTCTCCCTTTCACATCTCCGTTTTGGTACAGCTGCATGTTGGTGTAGAAGGAGGCAGATTCTTTGTCAGTTCTAAAGAATGCAAGGGAAAAGGCTGCAGCTCAGTGGTAGAACATGTGCTTTGCATACAGAAGGTCCCGGGTTCAATCCCCGGCATCTCCAGGAAAAGCTGGGAAATATCCCTGCCTGAAACCCTGGAGAGATGCTGCCAGTCAGTATAGACAATACAGAGGTAGATGGACCAATGATCTGAATCAGTATAAGGTACCTTCCTAAGTTTGTGATTCAGTACAGCTGCAATGGAGTCCAGAAGCTTTGATTTTGAAGCTTTTCAAGAACCTATGGAGACTATGACATCGGCAGGGGGGAAAAGAAGATCACTTAATTGAATTAAATAAAAGTGGTGTCCAGATGGGTGAACATGGGTTGGAACGGTTTATGGCTTTGCTCTCCTCAAGAGAGCCAACTGAAGCCGATGGAAATGTGCCAGTCATTCTCAGCAGGTTTTGAATCAAAGTCTGGCTACGAAACCACGGAAAACTAATTGCCTGCTGCTCCTAAGCAGCCCAGCAAAAATAGCCGCCGGGGGGCCGGGAAGCCTTTTGCCTAAATGGGAGGAGGACTCACTCAGCTTTCTTGCGCTTGTGGTAGGAACGTCTCCATGGATTCCTCCATGTTTTCCTTTTGGCCAAGGACAGGTCTGGCAGAAAGGCAGCAAGGGAGCCTTCGATCTGGTCTGGTTTCCCGCAAAGAGCATGCTCCGTGGAGCAGTAGTAAGAGCACTCGCCGTAGAAACAGATGTTGTTGGCTGAGAAGAGAGAGAGAGAAAGAGAGAGGTGTGAGGGAGCATCTTCCATGTATTTGATGTTAAAAGAGAATGACGGAATGACTAGCTGATACAAGTGGGACCTGCTACAAAATGTTGCGGTGAATCCTCAGCTCCTAGCCAGGCAGACGTGTCCTTATCCAGAATACTCCGTTCACCACCTGCTTTCCTGTTTTTATGGCTACTGAGCACATATCTTCAGCTCCTAAGAGGAACGTTCAGCTTCAGGGTTCCTGCTAGTTGGCCAGCCAAGCTCCTTTTCCAGGCTATGCCATTCCAACCACCTCCCATTTCCTTGTTTTTATTCTCCAAACTGACAATCAACACCCCAGTACTCATGTTCGGCTTGCTCAGTCCTCAGTGAGCTAGGTTTTTCCTTCTTTTGTCTCACTATATATATTTTTATTTTTTAAAAATACCAGCCTCAACATCTCCCTGAGCATGCCGATAACTTCCTCATGTTTTTCAGTGGCCCCATTTTGGCTACAAATCCTAATCAGCACTCACCGACTGAGTTTGCCATTAGAGGGAATTATATATATTTATTTATTTTGCTACATTTACGCATTGCCTTTTCTGCCAAAGCATTTCGGCAGTTTCATGTTTATCATAATGGCTTTGAGACAGATACAAAAGGGGGTGAGGTGGGGAACCAAAGGAGAAACATGAGCAAATTCTCACACTGACTTTTTCAAACAGCTACAGAATGAAGCTACATAACGCCCAGGTGAAAGGCTCACTGCAGGAAGCAATTCTGGGAGGTTAAAAGCCAAAAAGCAGTTAGTCCAGTACCCCCAAAATGGAGGAGTGTTCTTCAACCTTTTGGACTACAACTCCCATCACCCTCAGCCAGCTTAGCCAAAGGTCTGGGATAATTGGAGTTTGGTCTTTCAATGTCTGGAGAACAAAGACTGAAGAATACTGTCCTAATGGACCCAGGAGGAAGGGTTGCTGATGGTGGAAGTTCCAAGATGAGAGGAGCCTTCAAGAGTTGGAGTCAGGTCTTGGTCAGCACGATGCCTGTCAATTTAACTCTTTATTCAAAGAAACCCAAACAGCGCAGGCCTAGTGATCCCAGCGACTCTTTCCAGTAGGGTCTTGCACAATGAGGCAGTTGTAAGGACTGAAGGTCCCCGCTTTCCCACAACTGCCTAAGTCCGCTCTTCTGCAGGGCTTTCCTCAAGCAACTGGGAGACTGCATCTGCACAGAAGCATTCTCTGCTCTGCTCTCTTCATTTCTCTGTGGGTTCTGGGAGACATGGGGGCATAGCTGTCAATGTTTCCCTTTTTTTAAGAGAAATTCCCTTATTCCGAATAGGATTCCTCGCAAGAAAAGGGAAAAGTTGACAGCTATGCGAGGGGTGAGCTGGCTACAGCAGGAGGGGGAGACTTCCTGGCTTCTTCAGCAGCCTTCCTCATCTGTGTCTCCCACCCCCTCTCCTACCTCTGAGTCTGGACTGCTCTCTACCACAGCCTCTCCCTGCTCACTAAACCCCGTTGCCTCTTCAGCTTCCAACACCTCCTCTTCCTAGTCTGCTCCCTCTTCTCTGTCTGCCCACTCATTGTCATCCCACCACCAATCCCCAGGCTCCGAACCTTCTTCCCCTGGGGGTTCCCCAACTGTAGCCTCCCACCAGTCCTCTGCATCTAGCCAGTCCATGACAGTAGCCATCAACAGCCCTCTCTTCCTGGAATTTGTCTCCTCCTCTTTTAAAGCCACCCAAGTTGGTGACCATCATTGCCTCCAGTGGCAGGTAGTTCCAACTTTCATTTATCTGTCCCGAATCTTCCAGCATTCACTTCATTGCATGCCCTTGAGCTCTACTGTTAATGGGAGAGGAAGGAAAAAAGCTTTTCTCTATCCACTTTATCTTGCAGAATGGAGAGGGAGGCATCATCTTATATTTTGCCTCAGGCAGTCATATTTTAGGCTTGTCACAGGCTGTGGTGCCCCGTTGGGTAGTTGGGAGAAAACCCTGGGCCTCTTGCTGTGTAATCTGTGGAGAGAGTCCTCTGTGTCTTGGTAGGGTTAGAAATATGGTCTGCACAGTTAGTCATTTATCCTTCTGCACGTTCAAAATCCTGGAGAGCGATACTCATCTAACACACATTCAAAGGAAACACAGAGAGATCTTAATCTATCTCTCCTGGGTAACAGGAGCAGATATGCTATTGTTTGCTTACTCAGAGGGAGGGGGGATACTGGGGTGGAAATCCATAATCCCCTGTGATTGGTTAACATGAACAAAAGCCCCAGCACTTACTAACTATGTAACATTGATTTCGGTAAACTGCCGCTTCAATTACTCTGGAAACTATGGCAGACATTGTTAATATGTCTCTTTTTGCTGCTAAATTACCACTCATTCGTCCAAGGCCTGGAGTTATAGCAGTCGGCCCAACTGCAAAAGGACGTATCAGTGCATTTAAATAATTACTGACCTATTTCCATTCCTCACATTTAGTCTAAAGTGCTCCAGTCCTCTTTTTCTTTCCAAATGTAGCATTGTGTTATCGACTTCCCTCCTTCCGCCCCCCTGCCACTTTCAGGCAGGTTTCTTCGAACAAAAGGCTGATGCCTTCGATGGAGAGTAATTCTTGAACAAAACTGCGATGGCCATTTTTCAGCCCCAAACACCCTGTAGAAACTCCAAAACAGCTGTGTGTGTGTTTGTGTGTGTTTAAGAGATGAGGATGAGGAACCGCTTGCCTGTGGGGCAGCCTCAGGCCCATAAAGGAACTTCTAGCTTGTCAGGGGATCCAGTTTGATGCATGAGGTCATCTTCCACAAATGGAGTCCACCTGTCAATCAGCTGGAGGAGGTGGGTTTTCATCCTGCTGGGTGCTCCAGTTCATGCATTGTTTTGGAATTCAATAGGTTTGCCTTTAAATGCAACTCAATCAAATTTCTTTCTCATCCTTACCACCAGGCTTCAGCAAAGGTTGCAAAAGCTCTGTCATTATTATAGCAACCCTGGTTATATATTGAAGCCTAAGGAACAACCTGAGTAATTTCCAGAAGTAAAACTGCAGAGGCAACTTGGGAACTTAAAACAACAGAAGCCCAGGAACTCACTGTTCAGGCTGCCAGCTAAGATAACCGTCTCCTTACGATCCTTATATAATTCTAGACATTCATAGAACGGTGCAGCCTCTGTCTATTTTTGTTAGCAAGAGGAGTCCAGTTAAGAATTTTAAATATCTGCAAATCGCTTGAAATATTTACGTGGAGGTGATCTAGCTCCCCCTGCCCATTTCTTTGCCAGTCAGCTGTTATTAACAAAACGTCACCAGGGGTCCTTCTCTACGAATGCTGAAGTTCATTAAGCCTCACCAGTATAAGCAGATAAATGCGTTTTGATGAACGCTGGCATCAAAAGGCAGCGATTCAGGGAACAGGATGGGCACAAAAGGTTTGGACCCTGCAGGAAACAGAGAGCCGTAAACTCCATCCTGCATGAAACGTAAGAAGAGTCTGCAGGATCAGGCCAAGGGCCCATGTGCTGGGCCCGGGGGTAACCCGAGTAACGCGGTCCAGGTCCGGTCCCGAATCCAAGGGTTCCGCGAGGAGTCAGTCCGACAGGGCCAAGGCAGGACACAAGGAAAACCAGGCAAAGTCAGGCACAGGATCACAGGCAGGTTCTGGCAAACAGCAACGTTGCTCCCGCAACCTGAGGCGGGGTCCAGCAGCCTTTTATCTCTGTCGGGGTAACGGCCGGTCGTGACCCCCCTGATCCCCCTGTCTCGCCCAAAGGTGAGCACTCCTCCTGCAAGTACTCAGGTCTCTCCTTCTCTCAGACCTCAGTCTCTGCAGCTCGGGAGACGTCGATGGGTTACTAGACCCAGAGGCCGCCTCAGTCTCTCCTGACCTAACTGGTAGTGGAGCAGCTGTAAATGATTGCCCAGCTGAAGGCAACAAGGTAATCCCCGCATCTGGAGCCAGGGCGGGCTCAGGCCCCTGACTCGGCCCAGCTGGTCTTGTTGCAGGGGAACCTGTGCAGACTGGGGCTCTTCAGAATCAAGTCTCAGACTAGGTTCAGATGCTGCCTAAGGCAAAGGATCTGATGCGGACTGAGACTCCTCTGGCTCCGAGTCTGAGCCTGAGTCCCAGGCCATCACAGCCCACCTAGTCTAGCATCCTGTTCCCACAGTGGCCAACCAGATGCATGTGGGAAACCAGGTAGCAGAATATGAACACGAGAGTCCTCTCCCCTCCTGTGGTTTCAGGAACTGGAATGCGGAATCATTGATGCCTCCAACTGTAGAGGTAGATCATAGCCATCACAGCCAGTAGCCAGGGATGGTCCTCTCCTCCATGAATTTATCCAATTCTCTT